TTAAAACTTATTGTCTATTGATTAGAAAAAAAATCTTTCACTTCTAGGTTTGTAATGAGCACAATTACGACCTTCTTATTATCTTTCCGGTTTTTATTTTTTCGCAGATATATTTAAAAGACCATACCTTACTTACATGCCACGAGTTTTCATATTAGTAAGCAATATTGAAAACGAATAATTTGATATAAAGAGCTATTTTATTTTTAACAGATTAACACTTTGTGCTTTTTAAATCGTGCATCAATATTTATAAATTTAGTTATATATCTATTGTTCATTCGTTTATCTTAATTGTGAAGCATGTTTATATATTCAGATTTAAATTTTTTATTAAAGTCTCACCACTTGTATAACATTATACATTCCAATATACATATAAAACATTACGTATAGCATAAATATTGGAAACATATATAAAACTAACCACCAGTAAAATATCTTAAATCGATAACGCTCGGAGCAGATTAATGATAGATACACGAGGATGCTGTTCTGCTTGAGTGATCTACCTTAAAAAAAGGCGGACACTTTAAAGTTTAAAAGGACTAAACATCAGTTTGATTCAGTTTAACGGGGGCGTGGCTAATTAGTTTGACGCAGTTTAACCACATCTCAAATTAACTTGAATGACCGCAAGGGAAACTATTTGACTGGTATTAAAATGATTTGATATGGATTGAAATGCATTAAAAATAATTTTTAATTTTTGTCAATCTTTATTCAATTTTCATTAATCTTTTTTAAATGCCGTTAATGCGTTTTTGTCCGTTCAAGCTAAATTCGAGTTACTAGTGTTCCAAGCACATTATACTTGTGTCTACATAATACAATTGAGACTTTAAATTTCCACTATATATTAATTGGTCAATGCCATTGTTTAATTTGAATAGTATACCTCCAACTTGTATTAAAGAAGGTAATTCTGACACAGTTAAGAACCTTGGAGATAGATTTAATGTCTGACAGATGTGTTTGTACATAGCATCACCCTCATGTAAAGTACAATTTAGGTCTTCAGTTGTCCAATTACCCACAGGATTAATTGTTGTAAAGAGAATGAAGGATAAACAGTTTGGAACACATTGTCTTCCTATACTCATTTCAGAAAATATATTTGAACCTTGGTGATAATCACCGTATATAAATGATTTTCTGTACCTCGCCATGGTACGCACTCTTACAACATATAACTTTTCCTTATTAATATAAATAAACTAGAATGTATTAGCATATTCAATGACTTCTATCCTAGAAAAAGTACATGTAGTTCATAATGATAGCTTAGTTATTTTATTGTGTGTATTGCAAGAACAGCAAGTAACACAATGATAAATGTACATTGCAACATGCCAACTCTTTCCATGAATACTTTTTCTAGAAACAATTACTCCAAGCAAATTATTTCCAAGTATAACTCCAAGAAACTTTTTCCAAGATAAGTCAATAAAATTATTTCCAAGTATTACTCCAAGAAACTTTTTCCAAGATAGATCAATAAAATTATTTCCAAGTATAACTCCAAAAAACTTTTTCCAAGATAGATCAATAAAATTATTTCCAAGTATAAATCCAAGAAACTTTTTCCAAGATAGATCACAATAAAATTATTTCCAAGTATAAATCTAAGTAACTTTTTCCAAGATGGATCAATAACTAGCGTTAGAAATGGTCAATTGTCACCTATGAAGATACCTGGTCCTATCATATGTTGTGTGTATACTATAGTAAGACACGAAGATAACACTTGCTTCTATACTATACTTCAATAGTATGCTTGTATTTAATACACTCTCATTAGGAAGCTAGCAATGTCACAATTGTTGTTATCACAGACACAGTCACTGGATCTTGGCGTATATCAATTTACGTCAAATTACATGTCTTGATGGATAAAAAATACTTATTGAGTCTTGTGTACTGATAATATATTATATATCTTCTCTGAGAAATGAATTATACTATACAAGAACTGGAACACACTACATGCGCATCCAAAAGTGGTAAACTAATCAGTTTATTGATGGTGGCAGCAAAATGGTAAAAGTAGAAGTTCTCTTTTCAAGTAACACTATAATTGTACTACCCTTCAGTCTTCAGTATAGCATTGTTGCCTTCAGTCGTTCAGAAATAATTACAGTTTTTTACACATCAACAAATTTTCAGGACAAGAAAACATTAGGTCTACATCAAGACTTCGGACAAGAGAAAAGATACGTACATACAACCCGTGTAAATGTGTAAAAGAAATATGTCTGGTTAGACGACGTATAAAAAGAAGGAGACAATAGTAGATATATTGCATTACGTTACTTTCTACCTAAAATCACGTGGATATGTTTACATATTTAGACTTGACCCAGTATGACCCGTACCAGTGTTTTGGGTTACCACCGTTGTTTAGACACTAGACTCGAGTCATGTATGATACAATAAAATACTAAAGCTTCTACTACTAATTATGTGAAGTGAATCTGTTTATTTTGTACACTTAAAATGTTTTACCTGATATCTATCTGTTTGTTTCCTTCTCAAAGTTCTTGGTCTGTCAAAATTCTTCAGGCTTCTTCAAAACATACGTATTACTGCGCCCGGAAGTGAAGAAATTTAGACAAATCCTCGTAAAATAATGTTATTTTCTTTTTTATGAAATCCATTTTGTTATAATTATATTATAATGATCAAAAGAAGTTACGATCAATTAGGCATTTGCATTTTATTCTATGGAACGTTTATGAACTATTTTTCCATAGCTGTAAGTCGGTCATTTTGGCGGGAATTCATATACACATGGAGGTGCTCCTAGTGAAAGAGCTTCTACGTAGATAGACTGGTTCCCGATCGCAATTTTCAGTATGTTACACATATACCAAAGAGCTAATGCCTGGAACGTATACGTAGTACCGTAAACCAGGATAATACGTAGACCACATACATAATTGATACCGAAATCGAAAACAATAACGTCTTACGGCTTCACGTGCATAAACCGAAATGCACTTTGAATTGTATATAATGCAATATAATGCATGTTCAGTCGACCTTTCATTGTTATATCAACGTCTGAACTGATTTAAAAACATCTTTAGATGGCAGATAACACTCGAAATTGACCCGACCTCTATCCACACGGAATTCAAATAATGATAGTTTGTAAATAGGTTGACTGCTTATAATGCAAAATACACATTAATAAAAAAAGTTTTTAAAACTTAAAAATAACACTCATCGTTTCTTTATTTCCCAATGTAAATGAAATGAAACGAAAAACATTTAATATCACAAAGTGTAGAGGAAAGAATTCAATATTTCCGGATCTTTTTTAAGCCTACAGACCCCCCACGTAGACATGTCGGAAGGAAATATTAACCTGGCAACCATAAAGGCATTTAAAGCACTGCCTTTAAAAACCAAGGTAAACATAATAATGAAAACTGTGGCAGTGTTGCTTCAATTTTTTTTTAAGATTTGAAAGAACAAACATTTAACATTCGTATATTGTACATTTATGTTTATTTAATGAATTGATTATTAAGGCAAATTAATTAATATCTTATCAAGGTTTTCAAAAGCAAAAGCAAGGCATATATCAATGCATATTTTTTATGGTGAGTCTGTAGTGGTACAAGTTCGCAGTACAAGTTTGTAATAGTATGAATGGACTTGCTTCCCTGGAAGGAACACTGAGTTTGAGTTCTACAGTACAAAAGTTATGAGACACAAATCAGACAAATGTTTACTACTACCATGACTACAGGGATCAAAGGTGAGGTCTGATTGACCTGCCCATAGTAAATGTAAATGACCCCCCCCCCCCCCTCCATGATGTCACTCCATACCAAGTTTGAAAATTTTTATAGGCCTAGAAATAATTTAAAAAATAATTAAAGTAAATTCAATTAACCTAGACTTATTTTTGCATCAATAAAATTTTATAATAAACAAAAAATAATTGTAGCAGGATGCTGTTACGAAGTCTCCCAAACAAAGCTCCCATAATTCGTCATTCCCATGGTCGCCTGACATTGGGCAAAGTCCAGTACACATTGGTTTGGTCTAGTAAAGTGATATGCATATGTGACGCCTAGGAGATTGACCCTGTATGTCATTCAAATCTTTTTGAAATGACGAACAGAAATAAATATGGTTTAGGGGTGGGTTTCTCAACCGTTTATAAGTTCTCAAAAAGGGGGGGGGGGAGTGATCCCCAGGGAACTCGCCCTATATTTCATTTGATTTGTTATATTGTCCCATACATGAACATATATGGTTTAGGGGTGGGGATCTCTACCATTTACAAGTTCTCAAACAGAAGGGGGTGGGGTGACGCTGGGGATTCCTCCAAATTTCCATTTGATTTGTTATATTGTCCCATACAAGTATATATATGGTTTAGGGATGGGGATCGCGACCGTTTACAAGATAAAAGCACATTTTCAAATTGAAGGGGGTGGGATGACCCCAAGGGACTCACCCTATATTTCATTTGATTTGTTTTATTGTCCTGTTGTCATTACTGAAGACCGCATGTGTCTATCACTTACTGTTTTTCGAGTAATAGTCATTAAAAAATTAAAAAAAAAAAATCCCATTGGGCTTTACAGTAAACCCCTCCCTTCTTTAGGCCCTCAAAATACCCCTAAATAGTCCCGAATGCTCCGCTAGACATGTTAGTCTAACATTTTATGAAACCCTAAGTAAATCTGACAAGTGGTTCGAGTTGTCTTCTTAGACGGTCAGACTTGTCTCTGGGACGAATTGTTCTGCATTTCTTAAAATTTTTTGTATTCAAGAATTAAAAGTATGAAAAAAGTGTCCAATCAGTTATAAATAACATTTTAGCCTGCTAGATTATAACACTGGCACCTTTTTCAGCATTCGTTGAGAAGAACACAAATCTAGGGTGATAGCATAAAGCAGCTTAACTGCCTAAAAAATATATAATGTAGAGAAATAATGATCATGACAATAGCAAATATTAGATAACTAACTTAACTTACTGCTTGGTGCTTTGATTTGTGTTTCATCTTCATCCTCACTGACCTCTGGGGTGTCTTTTCTCAGGTCCTCTTTATAACTAAGTTTGTCTTTACTAGGAGTATTTGATTTACTTTTCTTTCCTATAAAAATAATTTTATTCATTGATAAACACAAGATATCAAGGGTCTTTGCTGAAGTAAATTCAAGTGTAGACTCATCATTTTTTTAAAAAGGGTTGTGCACCCACTAACATGATAACCTCGCCACATTCTGTATGTGCCTGTCTTAAGTCAGGAGCCTGTAATTAAGCATGTTAAGTGGTTGTCATTTTTTGCTGTGTTACATACTTTTTTTTTGTTCATTGTTTTGAACATAAATAATTAGGCCATTAGTTTTCTCGTTTGAATTGTTACGTTTGTCAATTTAGGGTCTATTATAGCTGACTATGCTGTATGGGTTTTGCTCATTGTTTAAGGCCAATGAAGGTCGTACAGTGACCTATAGTTGTTAATTTCTGTGTCATTTGGTCACTTGTGAAGATTTGTCTTATTGGCAATCATACCACATCTTCTTTTTTATATTAAAAACAGTTTTTTTGGAGAAAAATATCCCTCATCAGGGGGATAGTTACTCATTCAGGGGGGTTTTCCCTAACCTGATAAACTAGGTCGCTGGGTCATATTGAGTGTAGGGAGTTTTGGAAATCCATGCACCTCTGAAAATTGATACCTGCTTTTGGTATATTACCCATAATATGGGATAATATTCATTTTGAAAGCCATTTAAGTTTTCACTGTTTTCTAATTGATGTAACATTTATGTGTGTTTCAATGCAGCAATACAAGATTAGTGACATATTGTAGGTATTCCATTCCTATGGTACCAATTATGTCCCTAAAATAGCAGACTTGTTCTTGTACTGTTATGAATCACAGTTTATGGCCAAACTCAGTAAAGACCAGTCTGAATTGCATCAAATTGATAAATTCAACAACATTACCATTATCTGGATGATATTTTTTCTTTAAAGAATTCTCTAAATATACCGCCAGAATTTACCCACAGGAACTTACCTTAAATAAATCAAATATTAACAGCAATAAGTCATGAAAGTGTCCTTTTCTAAATTTAGACATTCAGTTTTACACCAGAAACTCAACACAAATTTACGACCTGACAAGGGATGATTTTTCTTTCCCTATTGTTAATTTTTATTTTTCTGACAGTGATGTGCTTTTGGCACCATCTAACAGTCACTGGTAGACCTATTTGGCTAATGACCACGATTTATGGACAATCTCAGGTGTACTTGGAGAATCTGCGTACTTGGAGAATCTGCGCTGAACGGATAATTATTAGAGATTCCTCCTAAATTTGCTGTGTCACAGAAGATAAGTCTTGTCATCAGGAGATTTACTGTGTCAACAAGAATTAGCCGTTTGTCCTATAAAACTAGTGTGTATTGAGTCGTCAATAGAACCAGTGATGTGTGAGCGACGATAATTAATAGATCGTTGTATATAGATGTTTACAGAATCCGTTATGCGTGAGCGACGGTTATTAATAGATTGTTGTATTATGGTACAGATTATGATATATAGATGTTTACAGAATATGTTAAAAACAAAGTAACTACAATTGTTTGAGATATAAGGTAGTTTCGAAAATATATTATATAATTTATCTGTAAATTTAGACAGAAACAGATTATATAGTGATATATCTCTGGTTTAGATTACTTTTTTAATAAATAAAATAAACTATCCATTATCACTGAACTAGTATACATATTTGTTTAGGGGCCAGCTGAAGGACACCTCCGGGTGCGGGAGTTTCTCGCTGCATTGAAGACCCATTGGTGGCCTTCGGCTGTTGTCTGCTCTATGGTCAGGTTGTTGTCTCTTTGACACATTCCCATTTCCATTCTCAATTTTATTAAACTCGATGTTTGTGAGTACAATCTGCCGATACCTATATTTTGGCATTGTACTAGGTCATCATTTGGCCATGTTTTTCTCTACCTGTTAATGACGTCTTTATACCTATACTAAATCCATAGGGTGTTGGATGTGTATTGATTGAGTTTTAAGACGGATTTGTCTCATTGACATTATTGAAAGCTGCAAGGTTGACTATAAATTATAATTGCTTACAAGTTACATCCACTGTATTTAAACTTTGGCAGATAGTTGTCTTATTTGCAATCATACCGCATCTTTTAATCTTTATATAATACAGTGTCAGTACACAAACCAAGCTATAATTCTGGGCCCTTATGCCAAGTTATGGCTATGTCGTGATAGATTGTTTTCATCCCCGTGACAACATGACCCAAATAAATTCTTCACCCTTTCTTGAAGACTTTTCGTGCGCGTCTACTATATGCTGAATAACGTCTTCGTCCGCAACAAAACTGACAGATACACATTTTCTTCGTGGACGACTGTTCATTTTTCTTCTTTCCCGCAAAATAGCTCTTCAAAATAAAGGAGCACAAATGGATAAAGTATAAAAAACTTAACAAATGTTCCGGTGTCGTTCCTTAATCGTGACGAAAAAATTGCAGAGTGTCAAAAATATGAGAGATTAGTGAAAGTAAGATTTTTTTATAACGAAATTTGAAGTTTTCAATCCTAGAAATCCAACTAACCTACTGACTTGAACTTAACGGTATAGTTATATATTTCACTGTTCACAAGAATAACTAATTATAACTTATTATATTTTCAGTATAAAACCCAGTACAAAAGGATTATCCCCAAAATGCACATATAAACATAATGTATTTTTAAGACATTACAAAAAAAAAATAAACATATCAATGATTTGCGTCTATTGATGATTTTCTGATTAGATAGATAACTATATAATGGCCATGATATGTCTCCTACCTGTGTATCTTTAGACTGGTATAATTTTACTGTTCAGTCTCTTCTATTCAGAGCTGCCTCACATGCGGCTGAATTTTCTTCTTTTTTTTTTCTGGCTCGTTGCGCTTCAATTCTGCATAACTATATATAGCTACTTTTTGATTGCCAGTGCGTAATAGTTTCCATGCTTAGGCTGTCATCTCGTCTGACTTTAATGCGCTTTATTTGTTAGTTGATGCTATTGTAGAGAATGCTAATGGAGTCTTGAGCAAAGAGGGAATTACATAGGGCCAATGACTCTGGAGGTTCAGAAATCAAGTTTGATATGCTTTATATACCTTTTTCTTCTTATTTGTCTTCTTATGAGATTTTTATCAATAGTCAGTTAAAGCTCTTGTTTTGATTTGTTATTATATATGCATACCATATACCAGAAATGCCGACATTAAATTGAAACTTACTTACTTAATTTCCTTCTATAGATTTTCCTGATTTTTTTGGGGGGTTGCATACCTTTGTATACCAATATTTATATATGAGACAGGTGCTACCTGATGAGCTTTAGAATTGTTATAAGTTTATTGCAATCAGCATATAAGAAAATGCTACAGCACCAACAACATATGTAATAAAGTAAGCGACAAAATATAAATGAAAACAGAAAGCAAAATAATAATAATAATAAAAAACAAAACAAATATAAAACAAATAGTACCTTATAATCCACTCTATCAAAGCTTATTTTTAATGATGCATCATAGCTTTATTATAGAATCATATTATCATATTTAATAAATTTCAGCACAGTTGATTCGTTGTTACAACATGCATGGTACTTAAAAAGATCCGTAACTTCACACTTTCGGCACTGAGCTTGTTGGTCGATAAAAAATTCGGTGGGCAATCTGCCATATGAGAAATTCTATAATGCAAAATAAAAATGAAAATGATATCATAATTGATTTAACAGTGCAGGTCCAATATTTTCAGATACAATTGAAACTTATTGCAATGTAAACGAATTTATTATACTTCACGTTAAAATGCCATATTTTGATTGGCTACTACGAGAGTGTTAATTTACTCTATCACATCTGGGAACAGTATATCTAATGGGAAATGAATCTGATACGCTTTTCAGTATAAAATTGATAAAATCTCGGACTCCCCGAGACTTCCCAAGATTTACGGATTTTGGTAGCGTCTGACTGAAAAACTATCAGAACTGCTCAACAAATTTTATTATAAACCACATAACTCTAATTGTAAATAAATACAAGTTTTGTCAATATATATGTTCCTGATCACATGACTGAGCGGGTGACAATTTTTTTGAATGTCACCCTCTCGTCCCGACCAATCAAAAGTCGATAATTTAAAGGACAATGAATTGAATTTGCATCAAGTTATTAAAGACAATGCTTAAATTCTACGTTTTGGCTCAGATTCTATTATTTGACTGTCAAAATAAAAAAAAATAAAACATCTTGCTTCATTTCTGTTGATTTTTCTAATGCCCGTAACGTTGTTATGTACGTGACGTCAAAGAAAATACTTTTAAATAAAATTCATCTGTAAAAGACAATAATGAGAGGACATTCAGTATAATAAATTAAATAAAACATAGCTGAGAGGGTAATAGAGCAGATTGGTACCCCTCGAAAAAGCATCAACCTTGGCTTCGCCGCGGTTGACAATGTTTTCTCGGGGTAACACTCTGCTCTATCACCCTCTCAGCTATGTGTTATTTATATAATATTATTTAAATAGTAAAGTTTGAATGCTTAATTGTTTGATTAATACGTCACCGTAATTATTTATGCAGTTTCCAATTAGTAGTTATATTGAATTCCAGTATAGTTAGAATTACTTACATGCACTTCCACATATAATAATTATACTGATAATTTCTAATGAGATTTTAGTCTTTCTTTTTTGTCATAGGTGAGTTTAGTAATGATGATTTGTTTTATTGTTTTATCGCAATAATATCTCATTCTCATAACCATTGCAGATACATAGGTACAGAGAGGGTGCAAAATATGTACATGGATATGCATCTATTTACACAATACATATATACCATACAGTGGTTTCAAAATAATATACATTTTAGCGAGGAGGACCCACATGTTTATTTATACACTTTATAAACTTACATAGTCTTTTTAGCTCTGACTGTTTGTTTTATTTGCTCATCAATTTTCTAAACTTCAGTGTATTAACACGAGCCAAATAGTACTTATCAAGGTATAATTTTCTACTGTCGTGAAAAAATGGACATTCTACAGATAATGAAATTCGTCTCCAATGCTACAAATATTACAAAGATGACATTCTCTCATTTCTATTAACATTATTTCACTTCCCTGTCTCTATTTGGGAGTCTGTGGTTTGTGGTTCTATATCTACATAAAATAATACTTTCGTGCATACCCAAGATATCGAAATATTTTTCAAAATTTAATTCTAACTTAAAAATTCTATAATTTACTGCTTTTGTAGACTCTTGTTATTGTGTAGTCTACAACTGTTTGTATTGGTCTTGTAATCGCAACTTTAGGGCATTTGTTTATATGTCATTACCAAAACATTGAGAAATCCAAATATTTGAAAAAACACATTCATCCAATATATTTTTAACTTTACTCACAAAAAATGTACGTACATTATTAACAGTAAATAGTGTTCTTAATAGTGTATATGCGATCGAAGATAACTAAGTCTCTTTAGCAGATACTGATTTACACCAATAAGATACGATTTTTGATTCAATATCAATGTCTAAAGGATATCTACCAAGTTCTCCGTACACCATATAGGTAGGTGTGGAATTTGTCAGTTTCAAAAGAAGTTTTATACAGAATTTCAGATGAATTCTTTCTATAATTTCAACATTACCATGCCCAAAAATTTCACATCCATACAAATGTATGGGTTTCATAACTTTATCGAAAAGATCTAAGCGACACTGAATGGAAATATTATGTCTGCGACCTGATTTTAACACATTAAACATAGCTTTTGTGGCTTTTTCTGCTAGGTGTTTCTGTGCTATTTTAGTATTACCAGTTCTAAATAATAATATGCCCAAATAGTTAAATTCTTTAACAATTTCAATGTCAGTGCAGTCTTTATCAAAATGTAAATTTGACGGCATTCTGCCTCTAGAAAAAAATCATCACTTTAGTTTTCGTGACGTTCACTTTAAGCTTCCAAACACTACAGTATTCACTGATAGAATCCAGCTGTTTCTGTAAATCATCAGCACTTTCTGCCAATAGTACTGTGTCGTCTGCATTTAGGTTTACAAACAGTTTCAAATAAATTTGAAGCTTGGACTCAATTTCTTTGCAAATGAGACCGCCTACCACTTCATCATGTTCATACTAAAGTTATTGTCTAACAGGAAGAGGTCAGTGTCGACATCTCCCGGAACGTGTAGCGCGGCCAATACTCCCGGAACGTGTAGCGCAGCTAATGCTTCGTTCCTATTCTATCATCAGAATACCTGATATTAGATTTTGGCTGAACAGAGAATAACTCGAATATAACTCACCATTTTATTCACAAATGATTTTAAAACAATCAAGTAAAACATAGTCAAATCTTCGACTAGTACACTAAACATGCGAAATATATTATGTCATTATGTTATGCAATTCACGTGAAATTCACATTGGATTGACGTGAAACTCACATGAACTGATTTCACGTGGGCTTCACATATCAGTTCAGTTTAGGTGAAATTCAAGTGAATTCAAGTGAATTTCACCTGCAATAATTATCTAGATGCAATTACTTGAACAGATTGATCACAAAGACACAACTAATTTTTAACATTTATGTTTAAGCAATGGGTATTTGGCACTTTAAGACATATATCTAAAGTGTGTATGCCATGCAATTGTGAATTCCCAAAAACATGGGAAATTACATGTGCCTGGTTTTTCTCTCTCTGGATTTAAAGGTAAAAGAAAATGGCAAATAAATAAACATTCATTACCATTGTCTATATAAGTTATCCATGTAGACATGTGAACCCTCGAAAGGATATATTTCCCGAGGCTATTCCCTCGATATAAACTTTATACTGAATAGATATCTATAGGAGCTGCTACGCAGCAAAAAAAAAAAAAAACAACAAACAAACAAAAGAAGAGCTGAGCGCTGTAAAGAACAAATTGAGAGTTCTGTTGAATATACCTGGTTTTAAGATATGTGCAACTATGACAAAATTATTATATCATTATAATCAGTGTCTTTTCAGCAATAATTGGGACCAAAATATTTGAAAATCTAAAACTTAATATAAAAATTGAGAAGTCCAAGACCCCAAATGAATAGTAAGGAATGTGGGTTTTTATGCACCCTAAAAACCTAGGGTTCAAGGGCCCAAGATTGCGACCACCGTGGAATTCCTCTCACATAAAATATAAATGATATATTCCGATTAAGAACGTATGACGTCTGTTACATATTTCGACCAATGAAAAAGCTGTCCAATTATATGAACACATAAGTATGTTAATCCCCCTAACACAAATAAGTTTTAGGAAATAATTTTTTAATCGGATTATGGTGACATAGATGATGCAAC